TGCGGCGCCGCTGCCGCTACCGCTGTCGGCGTACCACTCCCACGCGACGCTGGCGCGCGGGGGCGCGGAGGCGAGTGTGAGGACGTAGCGGTCCGCGTGCTCGTGGAACGCGAGCGAGACGGTGGTGATGGAGCGCGTGGCGGCGTGGAGTGCGGTGCAGGCGGCGGCGAGCCCGGTGTCGGTCGCGGAGAAGCTGAGCCCGCGCAAGCGAACGTCGATGCCGGCGGAGGGGGGGAAGTCGAGGTGCGCGAGGAGGTAGAGGACGTCGTCGTGCTGCGCGTTGATGGTCAGCTCGCGGAGGCGGGCGAGCCTGATGGGCATGTCTGTGTTGGGGGCGGGCGGCGGGTCGTCCCCGAAGAGCGGCTCTAGGATGCCGAGGGCGAGCACCTCAAGATCGGGGCACATCCGCAGGGTGTGCATGAGCACGGTCGGCGAGAGGGTGTCCTGGTCGGCGAGGACGAGCTTGGTGAGGCCATAGAACGTGCTTCTGCGCGACATGGTGATGAGGTGGACGTCCTGGAGCCGGGGCGTGCTGCCGCCAAAGAGCCTCGCCGAGTCTTCAGAGAGGAAAGCCCCTGCGGTCGTGGAGAAGTGCAGCCCGCGGAGGTGGGGGGCAGGGGTGGTGAAGTACTGCAGAATCTCGCCCATGGCGAGCGGCTCAACGTCCGTCACTCGGAACTCGCGCAGCCGGCCGGTATGGGGGGAGAGCAGCTCGGCCGCCGGTGCAAAGGAGGGGGCCGGGATGGTTTCGGACCCTGCTAGGACGCTGCGGCCGTCGAAGGAGACGCGGAGGCAGGGACATTTTCCGCTCCGCCCGAGGAGCTCATGGACAAAGGAGTAGTCGGTGAAGGCGTTGACGACGATGTGTGACCACAGGTGGGGTGTGCGCAAGGCGAGTGTGCGCCAGTAGCGGCAGACATGGGAGATGGTCATAGAAGCGGCGTTGTGCGTGAGCGGGGTGTCGACGCCGAGAATGGTGTTTTCGCCTTCGGCCATGCAAAAGATAATCTGGAGCACGTCGTCTGGAAGGTGAGCGATGGGCGCGGGCGCGGGCGCATGGTTGGTGGCAGTGGCTCCGACGAAACGTAACATCTCGTTCGTCTTCTTGAGGCGCAGGTCGGTAGTAAGTATCTCTGGCTTGAGGGAATATCTGAATTACACGAACTAATTGTTATGCAGGTGGTAAGCGGCGGACGGGAGATGAAACAGTATAAAATCGAGGATGCAGAGGTGCGGGGCGTAGGCTGTGGGTGGTGGATGGAGTGAAGGGAGGGTAGCCGTGCTTTCCTGCTCTTTGTCCTTTCTTCAGAGTGGCAATAAGCGCCTGTCAACGATCGAGCAGGTCACGTGTGCGCGTCGGGTCCGCCACATCAAGTCGGGCTCTTTACCACGGTCCGCGCTAAAATTCACTCGGTCTTAAAAGAAATACACATTCATCATAAATCATGTCTGGATTGATGACAACATTGTCTACGCCAACGAGTGCACTAGCTCTACATTATATCTCTGGCACAGTCGGCGCGCGTCCTCCCAAGCAACGGCCTCGGGCGACCCAGACGAGACGACTATGCGGACACCCGTCCTGGCGCGCTTGAACAGGCCCTTCTCCAGCGCCGTCTTCAGCCCCCACTCCTCAATATCACTCCTTCTCAGAGGGGTCGGCCCCATGTGCACGCCCAGCTCGCGCACGGTCGCAGGGAACGCAATCAGCTCGTCCAGGGGCGTGAGGCCGTCAAGGTGAACCGTCTCCGCGTTGGAGCATGACCAGACCATCTCCGAGACAAAGTCCGCGGGCGCGCCGTAGACGGAAAGGTGGCGCACGCCCGGGAGGTGCGTGGCGGCGTGCCAGCGGCGGTAGTAGTCCTTGCGGAGGGCGGCGCCGAGCTCGGCGTACTTGCGCGTGGTGAAGGTGAAGCGGACGTCGAGGTGCGTGACCTGGTCGGGGAAGGCGAGGAGGCGCCCCTGCTCGCCGATGTCGTCGAAGCCCCAGTTGGCGTACTCGATGGACACGCGGCGGAGACGAGGGAGGTAGTCGAGCATGCGGACCATGTAGAGCGTGCTGGAGATCGCGCTCGCGGCGGGATCGTCGGCTGCGTAGAGCAGGATCGATGGCGTGCCGAGGAGCAGCTGGGTCGCCTTGGGGTTGTGGCGGACGGAGAACGTGAGGGAGCGGCAGAGCTGGTTTGCGGTGGCGGAGGCGTCGACCATGAGGTAGTCGTCGTTTCTCTCAAACGTCGCGCGCTCACGGAGGATGCGGAGGTATTCCTCGCTGGAGAGGGGCATAGGGATGTGAACGTCCCGGAGGGCGATGGGGATGAAGGTGGACAGGAAGCGGTGGTTGACCTGGCAGAGGGACGTGAAGAGCGTAGCGCGCTCATCGTCTGTCATAGGCGATGTCCAGGCGGTGAGCAGGATGGTCTCGAGGAGCTCGACAGGCAGCCAAGGCCAGGTAGACGCGATGTTGTGGGCCATGGAGGGAGATGCAGTGTGTGGTGTGTCACTATCTCCGAGTCGGATGAGTATATATACCAGTCGCCGACGGATGAGGCTAGAGGCTGTGGCAGAGCACGGGCCTGGTGCGCGCCCGCCATGCCGCCCTGCGAGCAGAATGGACGAGGCGGATGGCCCAGTGGGTGCAGGCTCAGGAGAGCATCCGCTCGCCAGCCGATGGCTTCCGAGTCCGAGATCGGATCAGGAAAGTTGCAAAGTGGCGGATGCACTCGTACAGACTGTGGTATATATTATAATTACAATCATACTCCAATTCCGATTCCAAACTCGTCCACCTTGGGCTCCTCGAACGGACTCACATCGTCGTCCCCCGAAATCCTCGCCGATGGCCGCGCGGGTGCAACTTGCGGCGGCGCCCCTCGGATGGTCCCCTTTGTCGACTCCACGAACAGCGAGAGGCCCCTCGTGTCGATCGACGTCAGCACATTCGTCCGCCGCGTTGGAATCGCCCTCCCTGAAAGCGCAGTGAGCACCGACAGCCCCTGCGAGGCAACAGAATGCATGCGTACGCAGACTCTTGACGAGGTCGTAGCCCTTGAGCCGCTCCTTGTCGCACGCCGGATTCACCGACGACCCCTCGTCGACCGCCACGTAGTCGATCCGCTTCGCACGCAGGAACTTCTCGTCCAGCGTCCACGGTGCATCAGGGACGACCTCGTCCACCCAGCGGCAGTGCCGCAGGACCTCGCACCGGTCGACGTGCGCCCAGATGATCGGCGTCCGGTGCGCCTCGCAGAGCTCGTCCGCGAACACGCCCACCAGGAGGCACACCGAGGGGAACGCCAGCTTTGCCTGCCGCAGCTGCAGCGCATCTCTGTCAGCCCCAGCCAGCCCCAGTCAGCCCCGCACACCCCTGCTCACACGACCCGCCCGCGCACGCACCTGGCCTGGAACGGGTCAAACACCCCGTCGACGTACACCCTCACCGTCCGCGAGTCCGCATCCGCTGCGTATCGCGCGCCCGCGTCCGGCGGGAGCGCTCGCCGCACGTACGCCTGGATATCGGCGGGCGAGAGGCCGACCGTGTCAAAGCGGTCCCTCGCCGGGCGGGACGGACTGGGCTCGCGGATGTCGGCGCCGTCGGTGCCCACGTGACTGAGGTCGGCGATGCTGGACTCGAGCGACTGGTGGCCGTCGGAGATCACGTCGTAGTCGGAGAGGTCGTCGCTGGAGAGCACAGACGAGCCGTCGAGTGAGCGCCGCATCGTTCGCAGTGGTTGGAGAGTCCAAGCACGCTGCATCCCCAGCCGTGCGGGGCGGGCGCAAATATGTACATACACAGCATACACCGCGAGTTGGAGAATAAAACATACAAGCGTCGTGATTGATGCTGGAACGCGAGCGTGGCACGCCTGCAACGAGCATTCCACCCTGCGCATCGACCATGATGTCTGCAGAGGACGGCGAGCGCCGCATGCAGGCAAGACGGTGAGGGGCCGGCACTCCTTTTCTTTAAATGTTTAACTCCTGGTTTATAAGTACTCCGTACCTCGAGATACATGCAGAGTGGTCCGAATCCGTTTACTTGAATAACACTGGTGTGGTCAACACTCCTCGCCGTCAGGCCCCAATTTTCCCCCATCACTGAGCGAGAAACATCGGCGCCTGGTCGTTAGCGTCCCCAAGGAATGTTGGAGCAGGGTAGCGCTCGGGATCATCCCTCCGCGCTCTCTTTATCTATAGAGCTAGCTACCTCGGCGCGGTAATGGGACTGGAAATTGCGGAAGCCGGTTGTCCCTGGAATCGTCTTCTCCGGGACGATGCGGCGGCGCTCCCTGCAGTACGCACGGAACGCGAGAGGTATACGGGAGGATGGTGGAATGCAGAACAGGACACGGATTTATAGGTGAGTACTACTCTGACTTTATACCATCCGAACCAGTTGACTGCCCCTGTGGAGAATACCTACAGGTGAGAAGACACATCTTGCCGACTTGCACACGATACGAGCAACACAGACACATCCTAAAGGAGGAGAGCGAGACAATAGACCTCCCAGCGATTCTGGGAACGGGGGCAGGGATGGAGGCACTAGGGCGATTCTTACGGGAATCCGGGGCGTTAACGAAGGCGGGGGAGAAGCCGAAGGGGAGGAAAAGGGTCAGATGGAAAGATGAACCCGACCCCGAGGAGGAAGGCGACGAGAGCGAGGAGGCCGGAGGGCAGCCCACACAATCGGGCACACACACGCATTTGCTTCAAGTTCAGATTCCATTCTAATTATCTTATATCTCCCACTACGATGACGCGCGACGCCCACGACGCGGCCCGCGCCGTTGTGATACTGAGGAGGCCGGAGGACAGCCCACACAATCGGACACACACACGCATTTGCTTCAAGTTCAGATTCCATTCTAATTATCTAATATCTCCCACTACGATGATGCGCGACGCCCACGACGCGGCCCGCGTCGTTGTAATACTTATGAGCTTCGCCCGCTTCCGCTTTGCCCGCACTCGGCTGTC